CTATAAATTATAAAAATAAATGGTATAAAAGAAGAAGTGTATCATTGAATTCTCAGGGTCTGGATGAATCGTATCTGGGTTACGCAATCAACGATCACAATAATATCACGTCGGGAAATCGTCGAGGCTCGTTGGGTCTTGAGCTGGAAGCGCCACTTGACGAATCTAATTTAAAAAGAGCAATTAGTTGCGAGAGCGTATGCTCGGACACTAGTGTTAACTTGAACGACTTAGAGACGCCCATCGTCGGCCACATCTGCGTCGGGCTCGAGTACGAGAGATGGGGCGGACGGGGAAGCGATTGTGAAGGAGATTTGGCCGTGAGTGTTTTGGAAGCCAGAGATCTCGTTACCACTGATGGTTCTCCTGCGCAAGATACTTTCGTCAGGTTCGATATCTTCGTATATATACAAGTTACACATTATTTATTATTGTTGTTATAGATGTGTTGAATGTAGTTGCTTTGTTTGTTGCTTTTTTATACGTGATAGAATTATATTTTGTCGTAGGGTGTGTCTACTACCCGATAGGCAGACTCACGTGCAAACGAGAATTTACAGAGGATGTCCGTCGCCTAGTTATCAAGAAAAATTTCTATTTCCGCTCGATGGCGGTCCGGCGGGCAAAATACTTTTTGTCGAGGTGCATCTTTGCTCTTAATGTTTTTTTAATTATATTGATTTTATGGTTTATTAAAATATCGCAAAAAACAATTGTCAATTCTCTTCTAAAAATGGTAAATGTAATTTCTTTTGTTTTTTTTTTTTTTTTTTTTTTTTGCTATTATTCGCAGGTATTTTCTGACGAATCTAACATCGGTGGCGGTGCGTCATTAATCGGTGAAGCCAGCTTGAAACTCGGACCTGCAGCAAGACCACCGGCTACGACTTGGCTACCGCTCAGTGGGCCCGCCTTGCCCACACCACATTTGGGAGAGTTGATGTTTTCCCTCAGTTACTTGCCAACGGCAGAGAGACTCACCCTTGTGGTAGTTAAAGCTCGTAATTTGCGCGGCGCAAACTTAACCCCGGGTGATTTCTTTGTTAAGGTAATTTGTGTGAACACATTGATTTTTTTCTACTTCAATAAATAATTTTAAAAATGTTTAATTATTTTCTCCTCGCCAAGGTATATTTGCTTCAACAAGGAAAAAAGTTGCACAAGAAAAAGACATCTGTGAAAAAAGGCGAGAAAAGTCCAATCTTCAATGAAGCGATAATATTCAATGTTTCAGCGCACGCTTTACAGGTTTTTAATCAATTTTTTATTCTTCTTTTTTCTTCTGTTTTTTCAAAAAGATTTTTTTTTTTTACATAATTTTCACTTTACATATTTATATTTCAGACTGTACAGCTTAGATTGTCAGTAGTAGAACTGAACGGCGATCAAAGTACGAATCCAAAGGCGTACTCCGTCGGCCACATTATTATAGGAGCTACCTCGACGGGAAAAGCGTTAGCTCACTGGAGACAAATGTTAACAGCCTTACGACGTCCGGTTGCCATGTGGCATCCTCTCAGGAAGTAGAAAAAAAAAAAAAAAAAAAATATGTTTTTGTGGAAAGAGAGCAGAAAGTGGAGTCTTAATACGTCTGCTTTTAAGTATTTCCATCTCGTAAAAACCAAAACAAAAAAAAATTCAATGTCACACTCACGTTCTACGATGTATTTATACGTATGTATTATGTGAAAAAAAAAAAAAAAAATATGTGCATATATGTAATCTATATGAAATAAGATGCACTCTCTCGCAGGCAGATGCGTGTTATAAACATCCCATGTATCTGCTATTAATTGTTCAAACTCTATCGTGTAGTAATATTGATAACTTGGAGAAATTTATATATCTCAATTGTCTGGTTTTGCCGACGTTGGACTCACTGAACTGTAAGAAGAATCTTTCCAAGTAATTACTTTAGTTTTAGAAATACGTTGTCTGTGAGTTTCTTTCCTAAAAATTAATTTACAAACATTTGACGTCATAATTTATTGCAAACGTTTTGGTTTTTTCTATATATATGTATGTTTTTGCAATTTGTTTATTTATTATTTTAGAAAAACGTTTACTTTTCATCATTAAAAAAAAAATTCTTGATTTGTGAATTTGAGAAAATTTTCCTTGACGTAAAAAATTCAACATTCAGCATTTTTAAAAATTCGGAATCTGATTGGCAATGTTTGGCAATGTTTGACGGTACCAAAACTGTTTTGAGACTGATATCTTTTTTGTAAAAGAACCACAACAATTTTATTATATTATTTTCACGTATAAGAGAAAAACAATTAAATTATTATAATATCGTGACGAACATCACGTGCAATCTTGATCTTTCGGGCAATATTTCGCCTTTTAAAACTTAAGGGTCACAATTTTCGACTATCATTAGAATTTAACTACGTTTATATATATATATAAAAAAAAACAATATCATATAAAAATTAGCGTATATACAAAGAGCAGAAACTAGTGACGTTGCCATGTGACGTGTGTGCCTGTCATTTTGCGATTATCATTTTGAAAATGTGTTGAACATTCTTGAGTTTACATGGAATGTTTCAAAATAGAATTTAATAGCTAAGAAAAAATTGGCAAATATTTTTTACATAAAGATAAATTAAAAAAAAAAAAGAAATTGCTGAAAGTTACAACGCGTAGATATCAAATTTTTACTATCAGAAATTATTGAAAAATTATGAATCTTTGCGTTTGGATGTTCAATTATATCGTAAAGTTTATAAAAAAGAAATAGAGTGCATATATAAAGTAAAATGTGAAAGAAAGAAATTGTTTTTCACAGTTTTAAAACACTTCATGATCTCTCTGAGATTTCAGTTTACAGAACAAATTTCTGTAGATTCCTCTTAAAGATTCATGCTTTTGTCTTTAAAGATCAAGAGTCATTAGTAGAGCCATTAGTACGATGATACATCTTAACATTCACGATTGCAATTTCGTCAATCAATCTCGCAATGTTCCCTATCAGAAAAAAAAAGAATTGTTAAGACCTGCACGAATTAGATCGCCTTTTGGACCTCAATGCCTAATCTATATAACTTTTGTACCTCTTTAATATATACATATATATATATATATATACATATATATATATATATATATACACATATATATATATGATAAGAAACATTTGCAAGTTTAGTCTTTGTATACGCGCACGCGTATATCAAGACTATATATATAGATATGTGTGTGCGTGCGTGTACTTTTACACGCGCACAAAAGAAAAATGTTATAAAAATAAAAAAGTTTTACTATCTATAGTACATATTACACTACACGCACTTTTCGAGCGTCATAAAAATCAACCGTTCTACTTTCTCACATTTATTAAAACTATAGGCGTTTTTTTATCATCAAAACTATTAATGAAGAATTCTATGATAATATATATATATATATATCGCGCTCACTCTTTTCTTATAAAAACTTCATAAATCTAATTCTAAGACTTTCTCTTTAAGAAACCCCAATACTTATCTCTTCACTAACAATAAGATATCACATATATACATATACACACATACACACACATGATAGGATTCGCGAAGAAGAAGTAATTCACTCAGATGTAAAAAAGCGAATCGCAGAGTTTCTTTTGCGAAAGAAACCCAATGTGTCGGATATATAATAATGATTGCGAACAACAGCAACAAATTCTGCTGCTCTGCGAAATAATTGTTAATTAATTATCTCGATCTTTGATTTGAATTTTAGCGTTTTAATTATAAATTTCTGTATTTGTTCTGTTTCAGATAATGATCTTCTTGTATTACGTAATTATATTTTATTTGATCTCAAATGTTAATTTCATTGGTATTAATTTACTAATTTGTTTGTTACTTGAAGTAACAATTAAAGTTTGTCGAAACCGCTCGTAATTTTCTTACGCGTGGTTCTTGAACAGTCTGATTAAAATCATTTCCAAGCTGTAGCCTTTATCGTTCGTTATTCAAACGTAATTAATAATAATACGCAATTTGCGCCCAACATACGCATAATAATAGTGTATAATTTGCATGTTGCAATTTGTCAGGCTATAAAATACCTACTAACGGATCGCTAGGGATGTGACTCTTATTTTCGACTTTTGAATTTTCACCGAGAGTAAATACAAGAGCCACCCTAAACGGATCACATAAGCGATTGTACGCATAATAACACGCCGTATGCATAAGAGATAAGCGAATTAGCATTTAACACTGTTGTATATCAGCACAAAAAACTGAACTTTTATTCTTAATACTCATATGTGCGATTCGCACATCTACGCGTATGTGTTACATACATATATTATCATGTCGCACATGTTCATGTTTGATACACGTGGACAATTTGTATTTTCGCGGTAATAAGATGACGTCCGTATAATGAAGTCATCTTGCTACGGGAATGACGCGATGTTACAGAAAAAAAAACGGCTGCACTTGCAAGAGAGTTACTGTCCTTGATAATGATGTCCATATGAATCCCATTCCTATGGAAAACAAGGCTGTTGATTTTGCACCCATTGATATATATAGTATTGCTGCATGTAAAACATATACCAAGTGAGTAGTTACTCGCGAGTTACTGCTGCATTGTGTGTGTAAGCGAAGTGCACGGCTTTGTTTTCCAGGACAAAATCGGGATAAACGTTTTTTTTTTCACGTACGAGCAAAGCAAAAAATCTCACACGCGCAGAGCGAGTTCAGACAAGAAAAGAAAATAAAAAACCAGATTTTAATAGAGTTTGCATCTCGTTTTTTCAGAATTTAGTTGTGTCAAAGCTAGCTGTAGTGAGATAAAAGAGAGCGAGCGATAAACGAAGTAACCGAAAGAAACCGAAAAGATTCGTCGGATGATAGAAACGAGAATTCAAAGAACGAAAAAAAAAAAACCTAAAGAGATACCGAGACAGAAGGAAACGGAAGAGAATGGAATAGAAAAAAACCGAGTGATAATGACAATAATAGTGCAAAGTGATTCGTACCACAAACAGCGTCACTGTGCGTAACTTTTTGATGTAACTTTTTTTTTAATGTAAAAATATTACGTATACGATATAAAAAGAGAAAAGAGATTAATTTTAAACGATTCGCATAGACACAGTGTCATTATACATAGTTTATGGTGATAAAAGTAGCCAAATCTCACAAAACTAACGTGCGAGTATTTTCTCTCTTGCAGAGAAAAATATTTCAAATCAGAGTATATATAGTTGATATTCAATTTAGTTTTCAACAGTATTTGCTGTAACATATATTTTTTTAAATAAAAAGCAAATCTACTTCTATAAAAATTATTTTTTTAAATTGTGTCACATAAAACACACGTTTTTCAAATCGGTTATTTTTATCATCGCATACATCGACTATTGCTAAAAAGTCACGTGTGTGTACTGTGTACACTAACACAAGCGATATGTTGATAAATAAATAAACGATAGCACACTACAACGTATCGATGAACATTCCAATATATCTGTATATACGTGTATATCGTGTTAAATATTGAATAATTTATACAAATGTGTTACATGTGAATTTGTGGGATGAATCACACATTAGCCATTGCATAAGAGTGTACGAGAAAGATTCACATACAAAAAAATAACTATACAATTTAAATTGTTTTCTATTTTTGTTACTCCTCTCTGTGATATACTAAGGGCACATTTACTTCTGTATGTGTGCTTTGTGGCTTGTTGTTTAAACAGAAACTTCTCACGAGAAGAATGAATCTTGCCAAGCCCCTTCTCTCTCTCTCTCTCTCTATTAAATTTTAAAAACTCGTAATCGAACGTACCTCCACTTCTTGCATATACTTCCTCATGAAACGAAAACACAAACTTAATTATTAAAGACGCCGCTCTGTTATTCGTTCTCTTCAAGTCGATGTGAATTTTCGTCGAAATTCGAGTAAAACGCAAATGTGCTATATATCTCGCGCGCGTATTTCTCTCTCGAGTATTGAATCGATATATTTTTTTATCTTTAAAAAAAAAAAAAAGAAATTTTTTTCATCTGATATTGCGACGAAATAGCTTTTAAATGAGCGGGTACGTTCGAATCTGTGTTGATGAAGGAAGTTGAAAAGTGTATATACATACATACGTAATATATATATATATGTCTATACATATGCATTGTTATACGATATCTTACACTATATATTATATTAATTGTACACCATCTCTTAAACCGCGGTAAAAGAGACTTACGAAAGATATCGTAATTTATATATATACCAATGGTGAACACAGTAAATGTACAGTAAAACATTTATACATGGTGTACAATGTATAATACAGACGTGTGTGTTTGAGATATTGAATTGAAGAATTTACTGACGTAATTTTTGATAATTTTAAAATTAATTTCTCCCACCTAGAAAAAATATCGAGAAACATCTAATTTTTCTTTGTTACTTCAAAGAAACCTTTAACTCTTTTGTTACGGCCGTCTCTGCAAAACGTGTGCTCCTCCGTGTACACGAGTGATATGGCTGGACGGGCCGTACCCCAGAGCGATTTTGTCGCGTTATAGTGTTTTTTAATACCAAAAGTATATCAACTCGTTAAACTGCCATGTCACACATGTATAATTACCAAAATTATATTAAATATTATACGTGCACACAATTAGGTTTGGAAATAATAATAACTCTATATCCATACGGAACATTCTATATATATAATTCTATATAAATCTCCGTCAGATGTTCATTAAACATGGAGTTATGGACGTTCATCATACGTCTAATGGACGTTATGTATGCGTTGGTATTGCGTCCGCACTATCAAACTTTTACGAAATTAACATAAGCTAAAATCGATGGCGCAAAATAATAATCGATAATAATGACGATTGCTTTGATGGTTTAATTTGTTTTCAATTTTCGATTTAATAAAAATCATAAGTTTCATTAAAAAAACAACTTCAGAAGCCAAGTTAGTATCTATATACGCTTAATTTCTCTCTAATAAAGCTTAATAGAAACTCACCCTCTCCTTCCCTCACATATATATGTATATAAAATACAGATATGTATAAAACCAGACACTATATATAAAAATAATAAAAATAAGATATATATTTATATAATAAGATATATTTATTTATATTTATATAATCTGCAGTTATTTGACATACATATCGTAAAATTGTATAATTTTAAGCAATATTATGTTTATTTTTGTATATAGAACTGTTTTGTTTTGAACACTTCTCTCGAAATATAATATCTATTACGAATTTAAGGTTACTATAATGTAACAAAAAAAAAAAAAAACGTAAAAATAAAAAAGTTAAAACAAATTTAAAGATTTTTACTTTAATACTTGATTACTAACTACCTATATTCTTAAAAGATTACTAAGTTGAAGATATCTAATATTTACTGAAGAAAATTTAGACATATACACGCAGAAACTTGTGAGCCATTATTAATTACACACAAAATCATTGTTGTTAATTAATATACTTGTATAGTTTTATTTGTTGTTCGTTTAACGAAATAAAAAAATAGTATATTTGAATTGATAACGATGATATTTTGCACTTCATTTTATTCCTTTTATTCCTATGCTTGTGTAATTAGATTTAAAATTTATAATAAACCCCAATATTATATTGTTTTTGTGTAACTGTTTTCGTTATTATATTAATAATTTATGTTGAAAATTTGTGAAAATGAAAAATTATTGTAACACAATAGCACTTTATAACTGACACTTTAGGGTGTGTTAAAAAATTTCAGACATCTTATATACAGACAACCTGACACTCTTATTCACTAAACTATGACATTTCTAAAAATAGATTAGGATAAAATCTCAGAGCCTCTATTGAATCGTCTCTACAAGCTTTGCCATGTTTTTCCGTAACTAGTAACCTTTCACGTGCTAGTAGCACCGATATACCCTCCAATTGTGCGAGATCTCCAGCAGTTATTGATCCGTTCTCTTTTAACTGTAAAATTTTCAAATGCAAGAAAATTATTCACTTCGGAAGCCAGCATTTGCATTATCCACAGTTCTTACCAATTCTACTATACGATCAGCAACAGCGTTGTCGTCGTGAGAGCGAACTTGAAGAACCATAACGCCACTATCAAAACTTCTCAATATAATTGATAAATCTAGAGGTGCCAATTGTCTACTAGCGTGTAATAAATCTTCAGGAGACAATAGTTCTAAACCTCTCGCTCTATTTACACGACAGTAAACATCTGTAAGAGTCATCATACCACCTGCTTCCTGTGAAATCAGTTATAACATTTTGTGATAACACTTTTCTTCACATTTCCTAAACACATAAATAACAAACCTTTATTGGTTCTTCTAAGATGCATGCAAGTTGCTTTGCCAACTGCTTAAAATATTCATTGCTAGTCTTGTATGCATCTCTTGTTACCGGATCGTCGATACCTAAACTCATCAGGTAAGATTTAAATCTGACAGTTTCATCTTCTGTTATATCCCCTTGTCTTGCCTATAATAATCCTGTATTACACACCCGACCTTTCATCAGTCTTGTAAGAAATTATACACATACTGAAAAATCACCCTTATTTTAACTGAAATTGTCTTGGAAACGGCTACCATATCTTTAGCCATATCCATCAGTTTTGTAAGATCTTGAAAAGCCAATGATATACTTTCATCAGTTTCTTTTTGTTTTTCTTGCAGACTTCTTTCAATACCTATAATTCCTGTTCGTGTTTTTATTTGAGGTAGTACTTTGGAATTGCCCTGATTGTTATTAGACGTATTTAAACTTATAATAGGATCTATTTTCCATTTTCCTCTTTGAACAGTATCAGACAATTGAGTTAAAAAATGTGAATCTAAACCTTCTTTAAATGATAACTTAATGTAATTAAACATACTAGTATCAGTTGGACCAGGCATCTTATCTAAGAAAAAGTTAAAAATTGAATATGTATACAATACCTCGTGTTATATTGTTCTATGAGATTTTATATCTTACCAGCAACAGGTTCGGAAAGATACAACACAATCTTTTTACTACGTGTGAAGGAGAGCGGTCCAGAAGCTTCTTTTTCCATATAAACAATATATTGATGGGACAATGACAAACAGTTATTACCTCCATTACTAGGCTTGATCCAAATTAATCGGTGACTAGTTAGAATTAGTTCGCCACTCTCGAAGGTTGTCTGTTGAAAATTTTATTTCTGTAGTAGATATCTTTGATTTATCAATTTACTCGATCCGCACCAATTGTGATGCATTTGTGCTCATTCGATTTAAATCTAACATGAAAAAATTTTTAAAAGCACATTCAAATTTTGTGCTACGCACGCGCAGATCAATAGAGTCTGTCGATACAACAGATTTCGTAACCTCAAACAAACACCATTATGTTTAACGCTTAATTACTCGTTTCGCAAAGCGGAGCGATGTTTTTTTTTTCTATCAAATTTTCTCGATCGAAAAAAAATCGAATAAGCATAGATTCGTCAAAATCCGTGCCCGTCGAGCAATAGTAAAAATTTACCTGAAATTAATATAATTTATCCTTTACTCGCGGTACTTACAATTTAGCAAAATGTTTGTACATAGTTTTTGTGATTACCTTAATGTCACCGTCATACAGATGCACGGCCACATCGCGTCTCACAAAATTTTCATTCGGCCTGAGTTGAGGATCAGCGTATTCAAATCTATTCATTGTGACTTGCGAATGTCATATATGTTGTCGACTTGTTACAAACTGTCAAAGATTAAAAACCTACTATCTACGATCGTTCATGCGAATACTAGTGCGAATTAGTGCAACTACAGTTATGTTTGAAAATTCACTGCCAGTGTTAAAAATCTATAGCACATGTGACGTGTAGTATAGATTTTTAATTCTGGCGATAGTCATGATGTAAAAAAAAAAACAAGGTGCATCATCGCGCACAGAGGCGACCTGCTACCGTGCAGAAAAATGTCTGGGAGTGAGCGGTCATTCTGAACTAGCTTTTTATATTTCCATTTTTTTTTTAGTTTGAATCTTTGCTAAATCAGAGTATTTTTAGCAAAAACTTAAACCACTTACAAAAATTTTATACCTCTTGTCACATTCTACATTCCTGCTAATAAGAGTTAAAAAGTTGCGTCGTTCCGTTTTCTTGTAAAGCCTGTTCTACATTGATCGCAAGCGCAAACGCAAGTAACAGATCTGGTAGAATTGACTAATCGTATTGATCAAATCAGCCAATTGACCAGCGTGATTGGTCAATTCTACGAGATCTATATCTTGCGTTTGCGCTTGCGATCAATATAGAACGGACTTAATAACGTGTCACTTTCGTCAACTTGCAATCTTTTAAGCCCTTTGCACAATGGACGGAATAACGATAGCGATAAAAATAATACCAGTTGTAAAGAGTTTATATTTATAAATACCGGTTAGAAACAGCGGAATCTAACATACAAACATACACATGTATCAATGCAAAAAATCAGAATAAGCAATAGCGATAAAATTTTCGACGAGTTGAAATTCTGTGTCTAAAACTGTGTTATTTCTATCGCTATCGCTATTCCTTCCATTGTGAAAGGGGCTTTGCACAATGCGAGGGAATAGTGATAGCGATAAGCAATAGACACAGAATTCCAACTCGTCGGAAAATTTATCGCTATTGCTTATTCCGTTTTCTGATCTGCATTGATACATGTGTAATTTTGTATGTTAGATTCCGCTGTTCTTATCGTTATTTATGAATATGTTATTTATGAATAAAATTGCGAATATTTCCTCATAGGAGAATTTCGCACTGCGAAATTGCGAATTCTCCCTCATATGAGGAATTCGCAAGTTTGAGGGAATTGCGAATTCTCCCTCATATGAAGGGATCGCGAATTTGAGGGAATTGCGAATTCTCCCTCATATGAGGTGATCGCGAATTTGAGGGGATTGCGAATTCTCCCTCATATGAGGGGATCGCGAATTTGAGGGGATTGCGAATTCTCCCTCATATGAGGGGATCGCG